AAAGCTGCCAAAATCGAATGCAGGAAGGCAGAGAGACAATGGCTTAAAACAGGGCTCACCATCCACAAGCACAGTTTTAGATTAAAGAAGCAAGAGCTGAAATTTGTAACTAAATGTTCTAAAAAGAAATACTATTTTTCTAAATTGGAAAATTCAAAATCATGTAAACAATTATTCAGCATTTGTGATGAACTATTAGGAAGGGTCAAAGAGATACGTCTCCCGAATTCTTTTAGGGATCAAGAACTACCCGAAAAGTTTGCTGATTATTTTACAGATAAAGTCCAGAAACTAAGATACGACCTTGATGACTATGAAATATGTTGTGATTTTGATGTATATGATGGGGTGATTCTTGATAAGTTTAAACCTGTTTCTGAAAAATATATTAAATCTGTAATTCTAAAATCACCTAGCAAACATTGTGATCTCGACCCTGTCCCTATTCTCTATCGTCTTCCTGCATTGACGAACTGATCCCATTTATTGCTAAAATCATAAACAATTTTCTAATGTATGGATCAGTACCAGATTCGTTTAAAATCGCTCTTGTAAAACATTTGCTAAAGAAACAAAACTTAGATCAGAATGTCTTAAAGAACTATAGACCTGTTTCAAACCTACCATTTTTGTCTAAAATCCTTGAAAAGGTTGTCCTCGAGCGGCTTCATCATCATTTACAAGAAAACAATCTGTTAGAGCCATTCCAGTCTGCATATCGAGCTAACCACAGCACAGAAACCGCACTTCTTAAAGTCATGAATGACATGCTTACTGACTGTGATTCAGGAAAAGTTGTTTTGCTGAGCCTTTTAGATCTATCAGCTGCTTTTGATACAATTGACCATCATGGAAGTGTCTTTTGAATTATCCGGGACTGCCCTTAGCTGGTTTTCTTCTTACCGGTCAAATTGTTACCAGTCTGTTGTTATTAAAGGGCTTAAGTAATCAGATCATGCTCTTAAGTATGGGGTCCCCCAGGGCTCAGTCCTCGGTCCAGTTTTGTTCACCATTTATACTCAACCACTTGTCAAGGAAATAGTTAAATATGACTTAAAATACAATTTCTATGCTGATGATACCCAAATGTATGGTTCAACATTGTTTACCAATTTAGATGAACTTGTCCATCGTGCTGAAAATTGTATTGCCTTAATGAAAAACCGGATGAACAAAAATAAATTGATGTTAAATGATGATAAAACAGAAGTCATTATGGCAGGCAATGCAAAGTTTGTTAAAGAAGTTGACCATGGTCACATTACAATTGGTGGTGCAAAAACTTTATTTTCAAGAAACGTTAAGAATCTTGGCATCTATTTTGATTCCAGTTTATCAATGTCGGCTGAGGTAAATCATCTGATCAGCTGCATGTATTTGGAAATAAGAAAAATTAGTTAAATACGTCATCTGATCAATACCAAGTATACTGCTTTACTAGTAACTAGCTTAATTTTATCAAAACTCGATTATTGTAACTCCTTGTTATCAGGAATATCATTGGAGAAAGTTAAAAGACTTCAAATTGTCCAATTAATGCTGCACGTTTAGTTTTACGGAAAAGAAAGCGAGACTCTGCTAAACCTCTTTTACGAACTTTGCATTGACTTCCTGTTGAGAAAAGAATTGTGCACAACTTGGTCACCCTATGTCACAAATGTTTGAATGATAATGCACCATCATATTTATCAAATCTGTTATGACTGTACATTCCAACTCGCAGTTTAAGGTCATCAGCTGACAAAAAGAAATGTATTTTACCATCTACGAAACTTATAACAATATGTGAAAGGGCATTTAAATACCATGGCCCCAAGATCTGGAATGCTTTGCCAAGTACGTTGAGAGAAATCAAATCTTTTGATTCATTCAAATGTCAACTGAAGTCGTTTCTGTTTTTAAATTAATAAGATGAATATTTGGAATCATTTTCTTTGGTCAGAACACAACGTTTCATGTTACTGTTGTATGTTGTACTGTGTTGTAAAGCGCTCAGAGCCTGTGTACTTTATTCGGGGTTGAGCGCTATATAAATATCATTTATTATTATAATTATAAAATAAGATAAGCTAGAGAATGACCGCCAAAGTTTGGTGATTCCAAAGCTTGAGTGTCCTTGGAAATTGTTTCGTTACATAATATGTGTGCTTGGGGTCAACATTGTTCTTGTAAAACGTACACAGAAATCTCTTATTTATTGAATAAAAAGCCAAAAGCCGAAAAAAGCTGTTTGATTTGCGTAAAGGTCGTACACATTTATGTTTCTTCGATTTTATTATTTTGACAAGCGCCTGATCTCACCATGATGCCACACATATTTCTTCAGACGTCTTTGCCTGTATCCTACCTGCAATGTTATACTGCCCCAATTGCAACAATTAGAATACTATGGATGCTAACTGCCTCCGATCAAGAGAGAAGACCCTGCGAATGAACAACGACCACCCCCGACGAATTGCGGCAACGGAACAAGTCAGTGCACAGACGCCTAAAGGGACGCAGGTATTTCCGAAAATGGGCCGAAGACGCCATCCAATTCGGTTGCTATCTTCACTAACAGTCAATCGATATGCCTGGCACTAGCGGTAACATCACCATCCCTCGACTAAATGCGACTACGCATAAATAATGCAACGCCCTAACATCCATTCAGTGGATCCCCGGTCACTGCGATATCTTCGGCAACGATCTCGCTGACGGGCCGCCAAATTACATATATATATATATATATATATATATATATATATATATATATATATATATATATGACAGTGCGTATATATATATATATATATATACAAAAGACCATCCGATATCCCACACGCGGACAAAGGAAATATACAGGGCAATTTACTTAAAACGAGAGACTCAAATTAAGTCCCGCACTGACCAGTCACTACTGGCAAAAATGAGGACCGGTCACTTCTCTGGCTGCGGGTCTAAAAAATAGAATAGACAAAACATCTGACCCAACCTGTCCATTGTGCAGCCAGGAGCCCCAAGATTTGGAGCACTGGCTGCAGAGATGCCCCGCCACGGAGGTCCGGCGGTGGCATCTCTTTGAGGAGGATTCAGGGAGGTTGGACTGCCTCACCCGCTACCCAAGAGAGGCGGTGGCCCTGGTGAAGAGCACGCTCTTCGGGACTCAATCTTTTCGAACGGATGTCAACTGAAGTCGTTTCTGTTTTTTAATTAATAAGATGAATATTTGGAATCATTTTCTTTGGTCAGAACACAACGTTTCATGTTACTGTTGTGTGTTGTACTGTGTTGTAAAGCGCTCAGAGCCTGTGGTAGCCTTACCACACACACACACTTAGAATAGCAGTGGCAACAGATAGTCTCCTCCTCCTCCTACTCCTCCTCGCCCTCCTCCTCCTCTTCCTCTTCCTCCTTCTCCTCCTCATTCCTTCATCCAGTGCCAGATCTGCGACAGACATCGGCGATCATGGTTCTCCATTCATTCCTTTGCTCGGGTGCTCTTAAAAAAGATTTCATTCCCTGATCTTTCCCCGTTACCCATTTGTTTCGGTTCCCAAAGTAGCTTGCGCTGGGCTTACCTGTGCCCCGTTTGCCTTCAGTTTTGCCAGTGAGAGCTAGATAATCAAGCATTGCCACATTTGATTTCTTTTCCTTCCACAATATTCTCAACAGTCTTCAAAGAAACCACATTGCTGTTGCTTCTATTTTATTTTCACTGTCTTTAGTGATTTACAGCATTCACAGACATATAGAAGGGTTGACCATACATAGCATTTCAAAACTTTCATTTTGGAAGTCATTGAGATTTTTCTATTTTTCAGGATTGGGCTCATTTTATTGAAACTAGCCTTAGCCATTTTGCAATTCTCCGCTTTATTTCTGTGGAACATTTAGCTTCAGATGTTATTATATATCCTAGATATTAAACTGTTGGACTTGTTTGATCTTTTCACCTTTGTTATTGAGATTACAAATAGAATTTTACTGCTTTTTTAAATATTACCATTCTGTTTTCTTTACATTCAGTAAAAATCCTCTACGTTCATTTTTGTTTAAAACTGTGTCAAGAAGCTGTTGGAGTTCCTGTTCTTAGTCTGGTATTAAAACTGTGTCATCCTCATATCTGATGTTATTAATATTTTTGCTATTCACTTAGAGGCCTGGACATTCGTCTATGTTTCTAAGGATTGTTTCACTGTACATGTTAAAGTTAAAGAGGTCTGGTGGCACAGCACATCCTTGCCTGATCATTCCTCTCCTAATCTGCCTATAGTCTCTGTATTCTCCATTAATTCGCACAGCAGCGTTTTGATGCCTCTACTAATTCCTGATATTTCTTAGATTTGTCTTCTCTTTGTCTAGCTTTTGTAGTATTTTAAATAGCTAATCATGTCTAGCTTTATCGAACGTCTTTGAATAATCTATGAAGCATAGATACAGATCTTCCCATCGTTCAGTACGTCTTTCCATTTACATTAAATATAGCATTTCTGACGCTTCACTTTTTAAAATCTTTCCATTAATACTCGCATCAATATTTTTGTAAAATTACTCAAAAGGCTAATTGTTATATGCATATCACACTTTGTTGCACCTGGTGTTTCAGGTAAATCTATACAAACTGACTTCATCATATCTTCAGGGGTCTCACTGCTGTCAAAATAGAATTTAAGAACTTGTTTGTTAACGATAATAACCATTAAAGATGCATTTTCAAGTATCTTCTTTTATCTGTGTTTTTTTAATACTCGTCGTCAGAGGGAAACGCAGCTTCTTCTTCAGAAAGTCTCCCCCACCCCACCCCACCCCATCCTAAAAACTAGCCCTAAAAAGAAGTGAAATAAATAATAAAATAGTATGTTTTCAAATCTTTTCCAAGCATGATTTCGTTCATGGGATTCACTTTTGTTTTGTTTTTAAAATGTTCGATTTTATCTATTTTTATACACGAGCCCGTGTTTTTAATTGGTGTTGTTTTGTTTTTCTTCTGATTATCAAGGTCTTCAATAAATGTTCACAAATGGCGATTTTTGGATACATAACTGTGGCCCTAGCTGCTCTTGCTGTGACAGGACGTGTCTATTGTGAAGTTACCACGCCTAAAATTATAGTGGAAAGCCGCTTACACTCAGGTAAGTCCATTTGTGTTACAGTAAGGTGGAATCGGGCGCTCGTCATTTATTTTAGGGGGGGTTTTTTGTTGTTGTTGTTTTGGTGTGTGTGTTTTTTTTTGGGGGGGGGGCATATTGAGTTTTTAGAATGCAAAAGATCTTTCGAAAAAATCATAAAAGAGATTATGTTATTTTTTTATAAACGCTGTTGCGACAGTAAAAAGAAACAAATTATAATGAGCTAAACTTCTTCATTGTCTATTCTTAGAGTTTTGACAGCATGACCACTTAAAGATATGGACAACGTCTCAAAAATGGCATCTGCAGCATTCTTGTACACATCAATAAATGTGCCAAAAACCTGCATAGATATTTTCCATGTGAGAAAGGGAGTAAATCTGGGGTTCACATTTTCAATACAATTGGTTCAACAAAGACACTAACAACGGAAGCAAGGGTAGACCAGATAAGTAGCGAATATTTGGCAGCAAACATCTACTTGCACAAAATAAGAGATCCTTTGAATACAAACGGTATCTCCAAACTATTTTTACATATATAATGATCTAGGAAATGTGGTTTGTAAAGTTAAAAACCGCAATAAGAATATAAACTAGCAATCAATGACATTAAATTTTAAGAAAACCAGTTCAACGTGGACGATCGGAAAGACAGGGATGCTTTGGTCATGGTGATGAGAAGAATCTTTTTTAAAAAAAGAAAGCGACAAAGAAGATTTAGGGTCAAATAAAATGGAAAAGTTGCTTATGTAAGTTTCTTCAGTGCATCATTTGCAGCATTGTGTTCTGGTCTGAGTGCTTGGCATGCAACTAGATTATCCAAGCATCATTTTTTAAATATATTCCTCACTTGTGCTGTCCCAAATAATGTTTCTACTCTTCATTTCCAAAATCAAACGATCTGTTTCGTGATAAGAAGACGCGGTTGCACTGGGAATATTGTCGTTTTGAATGAGAAGCGAGAAAAAATAACAACAATTGTAGGAATGCGCCGGCAGTAATTACATCTCGTCCCTTGAACTGTGTGCTTCACCAAAACGCCGATGTGACACGGCGTAGCAAAATTTGGGCGACACACGTCTGCTACGCCAGGAGTGAAAATAACGCCTGTCGCTCGTGTGACCGCTCCCATTGTCTACAGTGTATAATCAGATTGCGCAGAAACTACTGCTGCGGTTTTTACATCTCGTCTGTCAAGGCCCTAACAGATACATACAAGATAAAAACAATCATTGAAATAAACGGACAGCCTCTTCAAAATTTTGTATAAGACGTTGGTATAATCAAAGCAAATTGAAAGACAATAGCATACATATGAAAATGAAAAGCAGTAGCAAATCAAAAGCTTTATAACTTACAAACTATCCGGAAATTCCAGGATAAAATAACCAGGATGATGACTCCTCATAATGTGCAATTTTCCGACGGTGGTCTACAAATGTGAAGTTTATGTTACTTCATTTTCTTTTTTTCCTTCTGTTTGCATTGGTGGGCCTGTGGGCGTCGCGGGGACAAAAGAACTCTTCTGTCAGCGAAAGCTATGGGTGGAGAGGCTTTGAATGAGGGCCGCATGGAGGGCTCTGTAATGCCACCACTGCCGCGAAGCATGACATTTGAAATAAAGAGACCACAAGAACGTTATCTGTATTTGAAATGAAAATGCCACAGAAGATTACTCCATGTGTCAAAATACTTGATTTTGAAGAAACTCTTACATGAAGAACTGATCATTGATAAACTTAATCCCCATATCAGATCTTTATCAATTTGATAATGATGATGATGATAATGATAATAATAATAATGATAAGAATAAAAATAAAAACTAGACTAACAATAATAATCATCATCATCATTGTTTGGAAAGCAGAATAGGAGGGAGAGTCTTGTTTGTATTTCAGACAAAATAACATAACAATATAAAAAGTGTAAAATTTGTTTAATAGAAAAGCTCAACGTTTCGGCTCTTGGGCTTCCTCAGGAGCAACTGAGACAAAAACTAAATGGGTGCTGTATTCTTATTCTTATCATTATTATTATTATCATTATCATCATCATCATTATCAAATTGATAAAGATCTTATATGGGGATTAAGTTAATCCATGATCAGTTCTTCGTGTAAGAGTTTCTTCAAGATCAAGTATTTTGGCGTCTTTGTATCCATGACACATGCAGTAATATGGCAATAAGTTGGAGGCAAAAGGAGGGAGACAGAGGGAGGGTGTGTGTGTGTGTGTGTGTGTGTGTG